TTTTTTTTTTTTTTACATATTTGTGCATGAAGCCAACCCCACTTCAATGTGCAAGGCAGAAAGCTAACCAGATTTTTCTGCCTTCTCATAAAATATTTACAACCCAGCAAATACAAAAATCCCCAAAGCCCCCAGCTTTCCCCAGAAGCTAGTAAACTTTGGGTGGATTTCAACAGTAAAAGTGTCACTGGGTCCAGGGTCTGAACCCTCACTGCCTGTCCAGATGTAGCCCCAGGGCATTGGATGCAGCCACACCCAGTCTCCATTCTGGGCTGCCCGCGGGGCGGGCTGCCTCACTCTGACACACAAGTCCTGACCTGAGAGGGAGCTGTGGGAAGGGTTAGAGAGGTGAAAAGGGAAAAGCTGCTGGAGGCAGTTGATTTATGGAAGCCAAGACCTTCAAACCGACCAGGGTCACATTAAACTCAGTGGAAATTCAACACACTTTCTTCTCCTCCTTTAAAGAAACCTGTGCCACCACCCAGATCCCTGGGCCTACAGCCTTAGACTTCACTTTCCTGCATCTCATATTTCTCCCCAAACCAAGGATGTGATGAGAGGGACAAACCTAAGGCACTCACTGCACCAGCTAAAAAAGTAAGGATGAAATCATTTTCATCCTTACTTTATCCATACGCACAGAACAGTTCTGGAAATAAAAGGTAGGTCCTATTGTTCCCATTTTATAAATGGAGAAATCAAAGGTTAGAAAAATTAAATTAATTACCAAAGTCTAACAGCTAGTAAATGGTGAGGTTGAAATCCAAACCTAGCTCTATTTAACTCCAGAGTGGAAAAATTTAGCTTCTAAGCCCCATTTCCTCCCTGAATATAGTCCAGGTACTGAAAGTAAATGCAACTTTGCTGGCCAGTGATATAAAGGGTGTGTGATACAGTATCACACTATATGTACAGGGTTTGATAGGAATACAACCTGGGCTCCCTTAGGAAATCATTTCCATCTCTGCTTATATGCTTCTTGAGATAGTTGGCACCAGCTGGAGAACATTAGGCAGGTGTAAAGGATAATGATTTATTGATTTTTCTCTCAAGCAATATGGAGAGCTCAGCCTGCTCATGTTGCATTCTCTTTTTCTTTTGTAGGTGTGGGCTAGTCAATGGCTAGCTGCATAGCTCAGTCACATTTCTCTGTCTTCAGGAGTGGTCAGAACAGAGGAAAGTATCTGTAGAGAGAGGGCTGTACTGATTCTGTAGACTTGGGCATTCTCTTTCCAGGGCTCAGAAATGAGTGTAAATGGGAGTTTCCACCTGTATCCTGCGCCTTCTCTTCCCATACTAGACCCACCCCATGGTTTGATGAGCCTCACCTGTATGCATGTGGACACCCTGACTGACCCACAGGTCCAAGCTCCCAGGCTACAGGTACATGCATCCGTGCTGTGATACACTCTTAGGAAGACAGACCCCATGGAGAAGCTGTCCAGGCCCTGGAGGTGGGCTCAGAACTATTTGGGCAAGAACTCTGTAGCACAATCGAGTAGTAGCTGTCAAAACCACTAAACCTGCAGGGTCCTTTCCATCTGCAGCCTCACCAAAATTTGTTCGAAATGTAAACTCTCTCAGGCCTCAGATGTTTGTGGTGGGGCCTGCGATTTGCATTTCTAGTAGGTTTCCAGATGATACTGATTCTGCTGGTTGCGGAATCCCACTTTAAGAATAACTAATCTAAATGATTACATCCCTTCGCTCTTCAGATTACCCACCATTTGGGGAGGGCACCATTGGAGATGGACAAAACGGAACCTTTCCAAGCACAGGGCCCAGGGCAGGGTTGGAGATGGTCTCACAGAACCAAGTCACCTTCTTGCCCCAGCCCTTCCCCCCCCCAGCTACCCTCATTTTTTTTTACTGTCTCGCTGGGTCTCCAGAAGCTCTCACCCCTAAACAGAGGTCCAAGAAGGTGGCTGCTCTCTGCACCTCCCCTGCAGACCACATTCCCCACCTGTCTGGACCTGCTCTGGAGCCAGGAATCAAGAAATAGCCCAGAGGAGGCATCTGACCTGGGGAGTGCACATGTCACCATCCACTGTGACCCTGCAGACACTTTGTCTGGTGACCCAGAATCACAAGGCCTGGCCCTGCTGCTGTGGCCACCTGTGGGTAGGAAACTGGCCCTTCACACTCCTTTCCACAAGCCTCCTCTCCCACTGTTTTGTATAAATGAGGGCTGATGTCATCAAAAGGCCCTCTCTCCCATGCCCTTGACTAGAAACCACTGCACTTTTCATTTCAAAATCTGCTTGTGACACTTTCTTGTGTCCTGCAAGCGAATCCTAGGCTTTGGGCCTTTAAGTGAAATTGATCAGTAATGTATCTGGAAATTTTCTTTCTATTTTTGCTTTTAATTTGCACCAACCTGGTCTGTTACAGCTTGGTTCACACCCCCACTTAATTCAGTGTTTGTTGAGTATTATACATATAGGCCTCTCAATTTACAATCGCTGGATTTGTGCTTATCGACGTTTCCCTGGCGGGTGGTAGAGAAAGGAGGGGGAGGAGAGAAGGGGAAGGAGGAAACCACCCGCCTATTTGAAGACATTCTTTTAATAAATAGGTCAGCCTTTTTGAGTTAAAAGCAAGTTGGTAAAAGTCTGAGGGCACCTTAAACATACCCATCTGGTGTGAGATTAATAAAAAAAAAAAAGAAAGAGAAGCAAATAAGTAAATGAGGAAAAAAACTAATTACTTGCAAGGTAGGGACCATCACGCCCATTTTAAGTAAGGAAACTGGCTGAGAAAGGTAACGGCATCTGTGCAGGGTCTCAGTACGCGGCTGGAGTTAATGAGAAGCAAACGACATATCGGAAAAGAAAGGATGCCCACGGCACCAAAGACCGGACCCCCCGGGAACCTGAGTCCCAGGACGACGGCCTGAAGGAGAGACGCGCAGCAGCGGAAACCACGCCTCGCACGCCCGTCACGGGCTCCTTCGGCTGCCGGAGGCTCCCGTAGACCACCCTGTAGAGGGGTTCTGAAAATCGGCCACTTCGTTTGGTCTGAGAGCAAGAAGAGCCAGCACTACATTTTTTCCAAGACATCTCTGAGATAGGCAATCAGCGTGAGGTTCCTCTTGAGAGTCCTAGTTGGATTTTCTGTTACTCGTCGGCCTCGAGGGTGAGCCAGCTTTTCCGACCTCCAGGGCCCTTCGCGCTACAGCCTCTGCTTCCTGCCGCTTTTCCGCGCGAGTGTCCCTCTTCCCTGGACCGTTACTGCTCAGGTGTCTAGTTAGCCTCTGCCCGCCGCCTCCAGACGTCCCGCCACGCGTCCCGCCCCACATCCTCCAAAGGCACAGACCCTGGGGCTCAGAAAGCCCAGATGACAGGGGACTTTCCCACCCCGACTCCCCTAGGTGGAGATGGGGGAACGGAGTAATCATCTTCATGAATGAAACTCCACAAGTCTATACAGCTACGTCTTCCCTCCACCGCTCATTTTTGAGCCAACAGCAACAATGAAGCTTATGGGGCACCGCCTTTGTGCCAGGCACGTGCTCATGGCTCTGATGACCTCTGTCACTGAATCTTCACCTCTCTTGTCCGAGGTCCGTCTTACTGTTAAGCTCATTTATAGATGAGGAAACCGGGGTTCCAAGAGGTGTCTTAACTTGCCCACTATCTTTCAGCAG